ATATTTATTTAAATTTATTATTTTAAATTTTAACATAACTTGGTCTAAGTTCAAAACATCAACAAAAAATATGTTAAGAGAGAACTGTTTAAAAAGATATTTTAATTCCAGTGTAATTATTAATTTTAATGACTTTGATTTGTTAAAAAATCTGAGTTTTGTTAGTTAAATATATTTCATAACAGTCACAACTTTCTGGAAACATATTTTGGTGTATGATAATAGAGTAAAACACATTATTTGGCACTTTTATCATTATTCTAAGAGAAAATATCTAGATAAAGTGTAAGAGTGAGATATAGCATGAATCCAGGGAACTTTGATATACAGTAGTTGCCTAGTTTGCCTCAGTTTCAGATGCAACCCTGGTCCTAGCAGTTTACAGGTCCCATCTGTAAGTTTGTTGACAAATTTTATCAAGGTGGAGATGCTATCTCATGATCCTTGGATCACAATTATCAAGATGTTACAACTCAACAACAGATCACCTCCCTAATGGATAAGATTTCCATTTACTTAATTTGCATTTATTCATAATGATAACAAAACTTTTCTTGAAGGTTTTAAATATATAGTATTTGTATTTAATTGGTAGGATTATGTCATGGTTCATAACTGTTTACTGTTAAGGGAAGAAAATGTGTAAGTGGCCATATAGCTCAGTCAGTCAAGCTATGGTATGGTACTTTGAGGGTCCCGGGTTCAAATCCCGGTCAGGCTGCAAATTTTTCTCACCCGGTTACAATTGGCGCCCAGCAACTTGTTGCCTTGACTGCATATAGCTAAGAGTTAATTCACATAGCTCTGTATTACCAACAAACTTCAATATAGCGGAGAAGTAATTATAATGGTTCAGAACTGTATACTATTTAGAGGAGTGATGTGTAAGCAGCTTAATAGCTATGACAGTAGAGCTGTAGTAAGGTATTCTGTGTGTCCCGGGTTTGAGTCCTGTTCAGGCTGCACATTTTTCTCACCGTGTTACAAAATTACCAATTGGTAGGACTTTAATTAGGAATCTTTTGATAATCCTAAATTATAATAATATATATAATCAAACTGGACTAAAATTATTAAGTTTTTATATGCATTAAACATTTTTAATTTTGTTGCATGTAATTCTACAAATTGATTAACTTGTATAAGTGATATTGGTGGAGTGACAATGAAAAAGACATATGTTCATGTATATATAGAAAACAACTGTTGAATTTTAGAAATTAAAAGGTAAATTTATTTACAGAATGATGTGGTTCCTGCAGGATTTTCACCAGATGTCTGGTTTGTAAAATTTCAACAAAGGGTAAAATACATATTACAGGGGGCGTCCCTGGCCGAGTGGTTAAGGTTGTTGACTTCAAATCACTTGCCCCTCACCGCTGTGGGTTCGAATCCTGACAGGGACTTTGGACTCTTTCATGTGAGGAAGCTATCCAGCTAGCTTACGGAATGTCAAACCAAATGCGACATTTAAGGCGATTCTTTGCTAAATATGGGGCAACAAAATGATTTTTTATAGTGACGGTTCAGAACTGTTCACTTTTTAGGGGAGATGATGTGTAATTGGCTTGATAACTCAGGTGGTAGAGATGCTGTACACTATTCCCTGGGTGGTAAGTTTGAGTTCCTGTCAGGCTGCACATTTTTCTCACCCTGTGACACTTGGCCCAAACGGGGGACCGTGACTGAATATAGCTCAGAGTTTAATTAACATTTCTCTGTAACTCAGTAAATTTGAGGATGAACTTAAATATAGCAGGGGAGTCATGGTTCAGAACTGTTCCCTATTTAGGAGAGATGATTTGAAAGCGGCCGGATAGCTAATATGACTAAGAGCCGCAGTACAGTATTCCGAGGGTCCCGGGTTCAAGTTCCGGTCAGACTGCACATTTTTCTCACCCTGTGACACTTGGCACCCAACAGGGGACCATGACTGAATATTGCTCAGAGTTTAATTTACACTTGAGCCACGTCACGACAAAACCAACTTAATGGGTTTGCGACCAGCATGAATCCAGACCAGCCTGCGCATCCGCGCAGTCTGATCAGGATCCATGCTGTTCGCTGTCAGTTGCTGTACTTGTTATAGGGTTTGCAAGCGAACAGCATGGATCCTGATCAGACTGCGTGGATGCGCAGGCTGGTCTTGATCCATGCTGGTCACAAAGCCATTATGTTGGTTTTGTCGTGACGCGGCTCAATTCTCTGTAACTCTGTGAAATTGGAGGATGAATTTCAATATAGCAGGGGAGTATGTCATGGTTCAGAACTGTTCACCATTTAACAGAGATGATGTGTAAGGGGCCGGATAGCTAAGTTGATAGAGCCATGGTACAGTATTCTGAGGAGACGGCCTCCGTGGTCGAGGGGTTAGAGTTGATGACTTCTAATCCAGTTACTTCTCTGGCATGGGTTCGATCCCCGGGAGATGCTTTGGTAGTTTAGCGCGGAGGAAGGTAGTCTAGTACTGGTGTAACTCTCCAGGAACGATGGTTAGGAAACTACCATGACTGAAATACTGTTGAAAAAGGCGTAAAATGAAGCAAACAAACAAGTATTCTGAGGGTCCCGGGTTTGAGTTCCATTCAGGCTGCAGATTTTTCTCAATGACCCTATGACACTTGGCACCAAACGGGGGACCTTGACTGAATATAGCTCAGAGTTTAATTAACATTTCTCTGTAACTCAGTAAATTTGAGGATGAACTTAAATATAGCAGGGGAGTATGTCACGGTTCAGAAATGTTCACTATTTAGGAGAGATGATTTGAAAGTGGCCGGATAGCTAAAATGACTAAGAGCGGCAGTGTAGTATTCCGAGGGTCCCGTGTTCAAGTTCCGGTCAGGCTGCACATTTTTCTCACCCTGTGACACTTGGCACCCAACAGGGGACCATGACTGAATATTGCTCAGAGTTCAATTTACATTTGAGCCACGTCACAACAAAGCCATCTTAATGGTTTTGCGACCAGCATGAATCCAGACCAGCCTGCGCATCCGCACAGTCTGATCAGGACTCAGGATCAGCTGTTCGCTATAAGTTTCTGTACTTGTTATAGGGTTTGCAAGCGAACAGCATGGATCCTGATCAGACTGCGCAGGCTGGTCTTGATCCATGCTGGTCGCAAAGCCTTTATGTTGGTTTTGTTGTGACGCATCTCAATTCTCTGTAACTCTGTGAAATTGGAGGATGAATTTCAATATAGCAGGGGAGTATGTCATGGTTCAGAACTGTTCACTATTTAACAGAGATGATGTGTAAGTGGCCGGATAGCTAAGTCGATAGAGCCATGGTACCGTATTCTGAGGGTCCCAGGTTTGAGTTCCATTCAGGCTGCAGATTTTTCTCAGTGACCCTGTGACACTTGGCACCAAACGGGGGACCGTGACTGAATATAGGTCAGAGTTTATATTTATTTTTCTGTAACTCTGTGAATTTCAAGGATGAATTTAAATAAAGTAGGGGTCAGAATTATTCACTGTTTTGGGGAGATGATGTGTAAGCGGCCAAATAGCTAAGTCGGTAGGGCAGCGATATGGTATTCCGAGGGTCCCAGGTTCGATTTCTGCTGGGGCTGCACATTTTTCTCACCCATTGACACTTTGCCCCAATGGGGGACAGTGACTGAATAATCATTAGCTCAGAATTTAATTAACATTTCTCTGTATAACTCTGTGAAACTCGAGGAAGAATTTCAATATAGCAGGGGAGTATGTCACAGTTCAGAAGTGTTCACTATTTAGGGTCCCGGGTTCCAGTTCCAGTCAGTCTGCACATTTCTTTCACCCTATGACACATGGAAAAAATGTGTCCCCTCTCATCATTTTATCTTTTTTGTGTTGTTGCGGTTGAAGGGCCTATATATGTAGCCAACACGTCGATTAATCTCTAAAAAGTAAACATTCTTGACTAAAATCCTCGCTTAAAGTCATTATTAACATATGCACTTTCGCCTTCCATATATTTTTGAAAAGTGCCGTACGGCTAGCCAATACAGTGTGTCCTGGCTAGTCGTACGTGACTCACGTACGGCTAGAACTTTTGGCTAGCCGTACGGGCCCGTACGGCTAGCCACTTCCTTCGGGCAAAATTTTCGGGTAATTTGACCTAGTTTTCGGAGAAATTGGCCATTTTCAACTACAGCTTAAGATTAGTTCTAGCCAATTTAGAAATAAAACAATGGACAAGAAACAAAGTTTAACACCCCTGACAAGTTTTAAAAGCATTTATTTTCATGAATGTAATACTTTTAGAACCTTGCAGGTTTTTTAAAAATGCCCTACGAAAGATGCAAAATTTGGCGATTAAGCTCAATTTCACGCATATATTCTGGAGAACATAAAAACTGTCAGAATATTCAAATACATGTACCGAAATAATTGTTCTATGCTGAAGATTTATACCAATTTTCGCAGCGCTTTGTTTGTAAATAAAGTTACAGGCAAGTTTTAAAAAACATGAGTAAACCGTGGTAAAATTACGCCCGTGTGATTATTACGCGACACCGGTACACTTTTGTATATTTCTAGTTCAAAGACAAATAATTCACCAGGATTAAAAGAGGAGCAGAGGGAAATGTAATTGATTTATTGAAAATTTGTCGATATGATTCTTTTCTAAACGTTAAATATCATAAAGTTGAAATACAAACATTTAATTGCCTAATAAGACACATAAGATCTCATGATATAATATATGGTAGTATAATTATAATATAAAGAATTTTAGTTTGCGTTTGAGCCACGTGTGTCCTAAATAGATACTAGCTGAATTAAATAAATAAGAATACTCCCCAAATAAAAACCTGATATTTATTAAAAAGGTAAAGAACACAATCGCTCAATAATATACCCAACTATTTTATCATTCTCGGATATTTTGCTTTGTTAATAATAAAGATTGTTTTTGTTACAACAAACACTAACATTATATCGTTTTCAAAAAGAAAACGTAAATCAACAAAATTAACAGTTATTAACATAAGCGAGAGCAAGAAATACCGTCTTAGGCCATGACTTGAACCCCGAGTACAAATTTGTGCTTGATTTAGTTTGCCCTCCATTCCTTAATGTTTTGTTAAGTTCACAGAATTTTGATGTCAGATCGTAGTTTATGGACTGGCATTGTGCTTGTCGTACACATAACTTCATGCAATGTTCAACGCCCTGCGTCTTGGAACCCCAAAATTTTTCAGCACCTAGTCCTGTCTCCTCCTTAAGATATGGCCCAACCTCAAAGCAACTCATTGAGTTGCCGATAGCAACGTGAACTACAAACCGTAAAAAAATATAAGCGAAAAGATGCGCACTGGTCATTGTTATGATGCGTTATTCCAAACTATATATCCTGTAATTCGCCTAAAATTATCATATAATTTTTTTGTAAAATCAAAACTTATTACTCAGAAATATAAAAAAAATCATTTTATCAAATTTATATATCAATTATACATTAAACGATATGTGAAATACACAAATAAGCTCTGTTGCGTAATTCCTTAACCATTCGCAGCGAATTGAATTTTATTTCATATCATGCCAATTTATAGTTTTACGTAGCCAATCAGTAATCAAAATTCATTTGATTTATTATAAATGCAAACATCGAGTGCTGGCTGTTAATTCATATTTCGTGCCTAAGTGAGAAAATAATTGCACATATTGAAATGAAAAAATGATTTACATTTTGAACGGCTTTGAAAAAAAAAATCCGTAAAAAATAATAAGTTTAAACATGAAGAGTTATATAGAGCAATTTCTTTGAATGCTGTACATAGGTAATGATGCAGCAATCTTCAGCTGTATCTATTATAAAAACAACAACAACAACAACAAAAATAAAAACAAGACAGTGTTTCTGAAATTAAGTGTAACGACTAATAAGATTACAATATGGCCATGAGGACTCTTATTCGGTCACTTGATTACAGTTGCTGATGTTTATTAAAAAATAAATTCATTCTTACAAATAATGAAAAAATCAAACAAAACAGTTCTAGAAATATTGCATTGCTTTTCATGGTCATTATGACCGAGTTGGAACGATTCTATGATATTTCGACCCCTTGACACCCCAACTCCTAGACACTTCAACCCCTATGATGTCTCTTTTTATGACACTTAGACCCCTACGACACTTAGACCCAATAAATTGGCCGGACATGTCGATCCTTTATTCTATTATGTACATGTACACTGTTTTCTGTCCAAAACAGATTTTAGGAGTATATTTACTATTTTCTTCTCCTAAAATAGATCTGGAAAACTCCATATGACAGAGGCTTTGACGTGACGTCACGCCATGATTATTCTTGTTATTCTGGAAAAAAGCAACAACAACAACAAAAACAACAACAAAACGTTCGGTGACTCGTAAATTAAAGGTTTTTTTTAAGAACAATACGAATTAAGCGTGGCAATGAGCTCATTTAAAGACAGGGCCAAATTATGGAAAATCTAGACAAGCTGAAAAAATATCGATTTCTTTCGTATTCAATGACCATGTAACAGCTATTTAAGAATTATACAATCAAACAGATATGTAGATTTTAGCTGGCGAATATATGATGTGGTATGTATTGAAAAATTAATATTGACCGAGTGGACAATGTAATTTTTTTCCGTACATATCAAATCATATTCAGCAGCTAAAAAATCCATATTTGTATAATATGCCATAGTCAGAATATAGTTGTTAGATATAATCCTTGAAATACGTTTACTTGTATACATGAATTTAATTGAATAACTGAATAATGATGATTGATTAATCTGTATTTCTTTTATCTATTTTTTTATTTTTGTCAATATTACAAAATTGGGTAGACAATCTACATAAAGTCAATCCATTATTGCATTAATTATCAACGTACATATAATTTGCAATAAAATATACATGCATTTAAGACCGAAAATAAGTATGTAAATTTTACAAATAGACTGAAATTGTAAACACGAATGATGTAAGTGGAAATATTGAGAGTTTGCAGTTTTGCAGGTTCTAGATTGTACCTTAACACAGGTCACATGGATCCCCATGCAGTATATTCGTGGACGCCATTCATAACTTGTTAATTAAACTGAAACTGTTAAACTGAAACTGTTCTACTTAATTAAACGCCTATTTCTATATACATATTCAATGGCGTTGTACAAAAGGATAATAAAAGTATGTACATATAGATAAAAAAAAAACACATATGCATGACAAATGAACTACAAAAAAATATGTTAAAGATATCAGCCGTGTAAAATATAAAGTATTAAAACCTTTGAAAAAAAAGAATAGTTCTAAAAAATAACAATAAAAAATAATTTAAAAGAAAATAAAAATCAATGGTTATTTCAGTAAAATTTTAAACATATTTCCACATCTCTATCAGTTTACAGCCCAATCACAATCTTAAAACAATGCGTGAAAATCTCTAAAATAGTAGGTTTTGACATTTTTCTTGAACATGTCCAAAGTCGAAGACTGTCTTATATACAGAGGCAATTTATTCCAGAGAGTTGGACCAACGGTACTAAAACTTCTGTCGTTAAATGTTTTCCTTTTGTTAAAGGGGACAGCAAAACAATAATCCATATTATCAACAGATCTGAGATTTGGTCTTTTTATGACAGGCTTGTGTAACAGTTCTGTTAGATAAACCGGAGCATTGCCCATAAAACAGTTATACATTGTACATAGTATTTTAAAATTGATCCTTGCTTTAATTGGTAACCAATGCAGTTCCAACAAAGAGTCTTTGGAACTATCATATTTTCCGCGTTGCAAAACAAGTTTAGCGCACATATTCTGGATACGCTGTAATTTCTGTAACTCACTCTCTGAAATGCCACACAATATAGCGTTGCAATAATCCAAATGTGAGATTACAAGCGACAGTACTAGGATTTTCGTGGCGTCCTGAGTCAGATATTTGCGAATGCTCTTTATTCTCAAATAATTTAACATGGCAGTTCTACACTTGGTCTTAACATGTGTTGAGAATCTTAGGCCCTCAATTAATCAAGATATTATAAAATTTTAGCAATTTAGGAGAAGAATGTAATGCAATTACAAATATATTGTGATTTTTATATTTTCTTCTTCTCATTTTGTATATTATATTTATCGCCATAGTAACCCTATGCCGTACGAATGCTGCAGCTTAAAAAAAGTTATACATACCATTTTAAAATATTCAAACTATAATAGAGGTCGGAGTGTTTCATCAGTTAGAGGTCGAAAAACATTTAAAAAGGAATCGAAGAGTCAAGGGATCAAAGAGTCATCAGGCGAAGACAAGTGGTCTTGGTGATCAAAGGTTACCAAACTTTGCTCTTGTCAAAACTTATGTAAATGAGACTCAAATTCGTAAAAACGTTTGATGGTCAATAAAAATATGTGACCTAGGCTTTCCTTTCATTTGACTTTGTGACCTTCTTTACACTCAAAATGACCCTTATTCTTATCTGCCAAATATATCATGCAGACAAAAATTCCACTTATTGTATAAATAACATTTATGTCCTTAAGAATGCAAACATGGGGTTTTCTTTATTTAATCTGGTTACCTGGTTTTAGCCCATCATAAGGTATTTCAAAGCACATCCGATATATCAGTGATATAAACATTCAACAGAGATTGATGAAGCTCAATGAAACTTTTGACCTGTAGACTGATAACAAGGTAATTCTTTACCTCTTTAGAGTGTTATTATAGTATAATGTTTGTCTTTGAATAAACCTGCTGACCTAGTTCTGACTCAAGATATATTTAAATATATCATAAGATGGACATTCTGGACATTCTTATCAACCTAAACTTTTTTAAAGATGACGCATCTTTGAACTTTTTCGAAATATTATATAGATAACCATTCTGAAAATTTATTATGAAGATCAAAGATGAAGTAGACCTCAATACTGACTCAGAGATAACTATTCTGACAAAATTCGATGAAAATCGAATAAACAATGTGACTTCTAAAGTATTAATTAACTTTCTTTTATTTGACCCTATCATCTAGTTCTTGACATAAGATGACCCACATTCAAAACTCATCCGAGGGACCATGAATATAATAATTCTGTCAAAATGTGACGAATGTATCTTGAGAAAACTTAACTCTTGACGAACTAACCTGAGTGTACTAATTCATCACTTAAGCAACTAATTTAAAATTGACTTAGAAGTGTTACTACTTAACATATAAATGGTGGTTGTCGCTAGTATACAGCCAGTTTTGGTTGCCCTGCAGTCTGGCCAAGCTTTATTTTGTTGGCCGATGAACATTTTCGTCTCAATATCCAAATAATTGATAAAGTGTTAGATCCCCTAGCACATAACTTGCAAAACTTGTTTTTTACAAACGTTTTAAGGAAGAAAATACCGTATTCAGAACTAAAAATGCAATTTTAAGGTGCCATTTAAAATTATCTTAAAAAATATTTTACGGATTTTATAATTTGTTCAAATAAAAAGTAATAAGAAATGTATTTTCCCTACAAAAATGACATATTTCTTTGTAATGGTAAACACATAATAAATAAATATATGAATCAATATCTGTTTATATAAACATATATATAGCCTAAAAATCATCAGCAAAAGGACACATATCATTAATTGATCACGTTGCTGTATTTTGCACCCCTCAAATAAAGAATCTGAAATGCTGAAATAATAGATCAACGTCGATAACTATGCAAATGATACAAAGACATTCGTTCACTCAAACACTTTAAAATGATGAAATCATATGGAAAGTAACAAAGTTAGTTAAAGTATTATACGACACAAATTTATTGAAATCCTTACAAAGTATGGTAACTTGATAATGAAACATTAAATCTCTTTTGTATAAAAACGGTTTTGCAACCAACTGAAAATAAAATAAAGGTATTGATTTGTCCAAGTCATTGTAGAACTTTTAAAAGGAATTAATATTTGATTAACAAAATGCTACCAAATGTACGCATCGATGAGTCTGTGAGAACTTGAGATAATTCAATATTGCTGGTATAAATAATAGAAAGGGCTTCGCATTATAAATGTAAATATGAAAATGTTCAGCCAAGCTGGATAAATGTTCACAATAAAATTGGAATAAACGATATCATGTGCCACAATTCATTATTCTATGCAGTTTATGTACAATACCAAAACGTGGGCCATTATGACAATTAACAGATTGCATATCTAATTTTTTGCTGAATTGCAAAATACATGAATGTTGTAAAACTTTGCAAAACGTTTCATACCATTCAATTAAAGGAACCTTATTATTTAAAGGAAATATGATGTTACTAATAAACACACTATTCATACCTGTTATAAAACAGGGTGCGATGGCTTGCATAAAGGCTTCCAATTACTGACATTTTGAAAAGTGTTCGTAATTTGTAATTTTATGAAATGATTAATAATAAATATGTGAAATATTTTTAAGGAGTCATGTATATACGTAGAACGTAAAATCTAAAACATGAAATTTAAATTTTTGACACGTTTAAAGTTGGAAATAAAAA